TATTGTATTAGTTATAAATATTTTACTGCATATTTATAAAGGCACAAGTAAAATAATAAACAAACAATAAAAAATGGGTACCTATGACAAATTAAATGGTCAAGATAAAATGCATTTGAATATTTAATATTTAGTAAAAATTAATGAAGAAAATTATAGCCCCCCATTCCCCACTAAACGGTCCTATTTTTATCAAGTGGACATGTGAGGGAAATACGAAAGCGAATAATAATAATATACATCGAATTTTAACCAACACCTTGCGGTCATATCGACAATATTAGTGAAAAACCAATATAATTTAATAATAATTATAAATATCCCCATTAAGATTTATTGGCTTATCTATTTTGCCTAATCGATTATTTTCAGAATTTTTAAATTTTTATTCAAATAATAATTTTGGCAATTTTTATTCATAGGAAAGACAAAAATATAGAAAATTGGACGAAATTGTTGAAAATATATGAACGATAGATTTTTGATAAAATATATACATATATAATATAAAATAAAGCATTTTTTATCATAAAAAATTTCAGTTTTAGTGTTATATTAAGTAAAATATATGAAACAGTACAATGAAATAAAAATATGATTCAATTATTTTTATTTTACATATAATTATTTAACATTTTAGAAAAGATTTACAATATGTAGATACCATCAAATAAAAATCAAATAAAAACGATAAATTATAAGAATGTTAAAAGAAATATTTAACAAGCAAAATGCATAAATTGTGATAAGAAATCTTCCCCTGATAAAATCACATATCACTAAAAATCAATTTCATAAAAACTTTACAGGACGATTAAACAAGAAAGACTGCACATTTCAGTCGTTATTCTACGAAATTATTTGAGACTTATTTCATTAAAATGTGAATTCGACTCAAACCACAATTAGACAAAGAAACCACTTTTAATTTTACCACCGAACGTTGGAGAAGAATCAATCATTCGAGGAGAATAAACCGAAGGATGTTTAGATGGTTGAATAAAGCATGGTTCTGGCATATCATTTGCTCGTTGTAATGTAGTCATAGGCCTGCAAAAAAAAGAATTATTCAGGAAAAAAACTTGAAATCTATACAATAAAATATATTTAAATGGCTTGAAATGGCTTTTGTTTTCCAACGAAACTATTTTCAATGAAAAATTAATTAAATCCGTAATCCTGAAAATATATTTGGAGAAATTTTTACTAAGATTTTCGATATAAATTCGATTTGCACGAAAAATACTGAAAATAAAATATGAAACCTGTTCAATGCATCTAAAATCCTTTGAGCTTCATCTAACATCAACCCGTAGTTTAGAAAATCAACTTGACTCAAATGCATTAGGTCTGATACGTTATGAATACCAATTTTATAAAATTTAGCCAAACAATGGGTGAGACCAATATGTCTCAAAAATTCATCAAGTGATGCTGTAGGCGATACAATAGTCGGCAATGTAGGAATTCCATTTCTTAATAAAGTTGCTGATGTAGACGAATACATTGAAGAATTGAATGAACAGCTGGAAAATTTCGAAAATAGTAAGATAATAAAATGATATTTCAGAAATATATAAATAATATAAATAATTTTTTAAAAAAATTTATTTCATCAAAAAATTTTGATGAAAAATAAAATTACCAAAAAAATGAACATAATTAATTAAAGATAAGAGGAAAATAATTGCAACTTGTGAAAAAAAAAAAACTTACATTTCCGAATTATTTATCCCATTATGAATTGATTCGGTTATATAGATTAAATCCGGATGACGAATATATTCTTCGAGAATTTGCAAAATTTGAGCAAATGTTGGCCTTTTGTGTCGATCAATATGCCAACATCGAAGCATTAAATTATGAAGAGTCACTGGAGTGTCCATTGGAGGTGGCAATCGGTATCCTAGTGTTACTTCACTGATAACTTTCTGATTTGTCCATTCCCAATAAGGTCGTTCACCAAAAGAACAAACCTTGAAAAATTAAAGAATTGATTATATATTCTAATATTTAAAAAATAGCCATAATACACAAATAGAAGAAGGAAGCATAAATGAATTAATGGTTGTAGATTATTAAAATAACAAAAGAGAACAAAAGAAAAGAAGGATTAGAAATTGAAGGCTAATTTGCAATTTTATTAGTAAGATGATTGCAATGAGTTGATTAAATTTTAAGAGAAGAAAACGAGGGTTGAAGGAAAATTAAGGTTTTTTAAGATTTCAAAGAAATTTAAGATTTCAAAGGAATTAGTTGAATATAATTGGGTTTAAGGAGTATTATAGTAATATTAAGAAAAGTAGAGTTAAAGAAATTTCCAGGAAATATAAAGGACTACGAATGGAATATATCAAATA